TACACATCACCAGTCATCAGGCCTGCTGACGTCGATGGAGAAAGCGTGAGTACGGCCTAGCCGCAAAACAACAAAATAAAACTGAACCCATCCTTATAATTTCGCCAAGATTTCTGAAATAGTTTGCACATCTTAATTAATTAATTGATTCAAAAGAATATTAATAAGTTAATCTATTTAATGTAAAGTAAAAAAGGAAAAAGCGTTCTTTCTTATCTTAAATTTTATTTCCTTTCATTGGATCTAAAACAAACTGACTCAATAAGAGGTCTCGTAACGTAAATAACGTAAACTTAGGCTTAAGGATTAGATTTAGGAAAATGTCTTTCAATATTATCTCAGCCTGCAATTATATGACTTTGAAAATGAACTAATTTGATATCTTGTTGGGCACCTAAGGGGATGTAGAGCATTGGTTGTATAAGGGTGGAGCCTGAATGGACTTCACAGGTTGGGAGGGTTTAGATTGAGGCCAATAACATCGGAGCCTCATCTTCAATAGGTACACTTCCTTCGTCTGATTCATATTATTTACCATATCCCCAGCTAGAGTATCTCTGTCTACAATATTAGTTATGTAGCACCATTGTTCATGTCAACACAAAACCCACGCCCATTTTCCCTGAGCCTGCCGAGCAGAAAAAGTAGACAGAGCGTGTTGAGGTGGACAACGCTCGGTGAGTGTGTTTGTTACAAAATCTCTATATATCATACAAACTTTGTATAACGTTCTTAAACAACACTTTTGCGATGATATATCTCAATATATAGGAATAGGAATTTTCATAACGTTCTTAAGCCAAATTTCCTAATTGTTGATTTCAACGTTTTCCAGTGTACAGGAGAACACCAGTGAAGGGAAGTACGACGCATCCTGTATATCGTGTGCATCGAACCGTTAACGGCAGACAGCTGAACAGTGGAGCAGTGGAGCAATGGAGCAGCGGTAGGAAGCCGCACAGCTGCGGTCATGTGCAGCACATAGTTAATATAGTTGGAAAGGCTAAGGACACACGAAGAAGCGAAGAGCCGACTGAAACGGAGAAAAAAAACATTCTTCCATCCTGCGCCACAAGCCCAGGACATTTGCTCGGCTTCGATCCCGGCGCTCAGGTTTGTTGGCCAACAGTCTGCATTGTCGGTGGTTTGAGCGGAAATTGATTTTCGTACTCCGACGCTTCTCGGCTGTAATTTATGAGCGATTCTCCTGGCTGCAGCCCGCTGCGTGGCCCATCTCCGCATCCTGCCCGCCACTTTTGTCAATTAAATGTCAGTTAAGCTTTGGCCCCGCCAGCCGCACTTTGCCCGTCTTGAATTGCAATCAGTTGACATTCAAGCGAGACACCAAACTGGGTGGTGGGTGTTGGATGGCTTTGTGGCGGGGTCCTTCTTACATCTCAAGGACACACACGAGCCACAGGCTGAGATGCTGCAGCCGATGAAAGCGACTGAAGCACAATGCGCCATTCCCAGTTATTTAATTACGCCCAACCATCGCCCCCACAGTCTACTTTAGATTTAATTCTCACCGAATGTTGCCCTGGATTCGGATTCATTAAAATCATATCAAAGCAGTGGCAGGCAGAAATTTATCTCTTTCATTAAATCGAATGGCCAGAAGAACGAACGATTCGTACGACCCTTAGCTGTTGTCCTGGGCATCATTGTTGCCGCTGCTAGGACAATGTCTTTGTTAATAAATTCCTTGGTAATTAGCATTTGCATAGATCGAAGACGAAATATTTGCATACCGATTTGGGGCCTAAGCCACTACCTCTAGGTATGCCTTGGCCCTGGTAGAACTTTGGAGATAATTAATTGGATCATTTAATTTTCGAAGTAGTTATTAGGTAACCTTGAGGGGTCCTACTTATTTTATAATGCAATATAAAATAGAGCAACTAGAGTTCCAGCAAAAGAGCTTACTTATTATACCCTTGCAGGGTATTATAATTTCAGTCAGAAGTTTGCAACGCAGTGAAGGAGACGTTTCCGACCCTATAAAGTATATATATTCTTGATCAGCATCAACAGCCGAGTCGATCTAGCCATGTCCGTCTGTCCGTCTGTCCGTCTGTCCGTCTGTCCGTTTCTACGCAAACTAGTCCCTCAGTTTTAAAGCTATCTGAATGAAACTTTGCATATAGTCTTCTATATACTCTCACTGCTATATATGTCGGAATGGGCCGGATCGGACGACTATATCATATAGCTGCCATACAAATGTTCGATAAATTTTTGGAAAAAAAATTATAACTTGGCTGTTTTTCAATATTATTCCACCATTTTTGGGATGAAGCCTTTTTTTATTATTCCAGAATTTTGGTAAAAATTTTATGAAAATCGGACGACTATATCTTATAGCTGCCATAGGAACGATAGGGAAAGTAATAGAAAAAATTATAACTTCGTTGTTTTTTAACGTATTTTCATCTACGAGATATGAGCTTTAATTATTATTATAGACATTTGGTATACATTTTATAAAAATCGGACAACTATATCTTATAGCTGTCATAGAAGCGATCGGTAAATGTATAAAATATATAAAGCTGGGAATGTAAAACTGTAACTGTTAAACTGTAAACATAATAAGTATAGGTAAAATTTAATGAAACTCTGTTTAGTGTCTGTTTTCGGCATTATAATTTATAATATAAATATGAAAACCAATCTGCAAGGGTATACAAACTTCGGCGTGCCGAAGTTAGCTTCCTTTCTTGTTTTTGGTATCAGTTAAGTATTAACCTGTTTCCGGCTTTGCATATTGGAAGTATGAAGGCACACTAATTGTTGTTTGTTTGTAATTAACTTTAAATGTGTTACTCTCCTGTTAAAGTCATATCTAGTTATTTTATTTTAAACCTAGAAACGACCTTTATATCCTTACAAGATCCAAAGTTCTAGTTCAAGTATATGAGATTCAAAAGTCAAGCCGTTTATGGATGATACATTCGCACGTAGCCGTCGCCCTGACGATGGCCAAATTATTCAGACATTTTCAAATATCGTTGAGCTCATTTAAATGCAATTTTCAGCGTTCCCTGACCCCCAAAATGGACTGTCTGGCCTGCTTTGGTTTGGTTTGGTTTTCGTTTTTCGGGCCCGAGTCCGAGTCCGGGTCCAGACACAGCTAATTGATTTCTCATTAGCCCGAGAAGCGAGCGGAGACTTGCCAATGCGAAATTGTTGATTCGAGCCTTGGCAGGAGCGTGTCCTGAAATGGCATCTCGTATAGCCAGATTCGCGGCCAAGGAAATAAAAACCTGATGAGAGTTGAGGCTGGCCAAGGCCCGAATAGGAAAATTGTTGTATTTGCCTATTTTTTCTTTTTTTTTTTTTTGTTTGCCTCATTCTTTTTCGTTCAATCGATTTTCGTCCTGCGGGTGAGGGTGCGGGTGTGTTTGTATTCGCCTCTTCCAAATTGAGTTCGAATGCTGCGCGAATGGCCGAGGCTTTGCTTTTTGGGTTTTTGGGGATAGCACAAGTTGATACAACTTGGGCAGCGGTGAACAACGTGACGTTTAAGTGTGATTTCTTGTTGCCTGCTGGTGTGTGTGTGTGTGTGTTTTTGTCCTCTGTTTGTGTGGCAGTGTGTGTATCTGCCTTGTTGCCCTGTTTGTTTTTCACTTCAACTCTGCCTGGGCCTAAGGTTCAACAAATTCATCCTCTCATCTTATCTTACTCGCTCGTCCTTCTCAGTCTCTCTTTGCTCTCTTTGTCTTCCGCTGTCTCTCTCTCTCTCTTTCTTTGTGTCTCTCTTTCCCTCTGTGTCCGAGGCTTAGCATTTTTCGTGCCTAAGTCAAATAATGCGCTAACACATCATTTCACACTTAAATGCTGTAAAAATATGCATAAAGCTTTCGGCAAAAAACCTTAGTACAGACAAGCTTCTATAAATCGAACCTTGAAGTTATCAAGTATCTCAGAGACATATAAACAATGTATTTTATCCCTCATAAACTTAATAAAATTTATATAAATGCATTTTATCAGTTAGATTTTAAACCATTTTAAATTTTCACAGCTCTGAAATAATTGTCACAGCTTTTTTTATTTTCTTTTCCACTGGCATGTTGACTTCTACAGCTACCGTTTTTCGTGGAAAACTTTGCGTTTAAAAAAATACTGAAGAAAATTCGCCTCATGCATATAATAAATCATTTCCATCGAATTATATTATGAACTTTCGAGAATCATTAAATTTAATAAATACATCGCTTTCATGAAATATTATACTGCGAATCTGATGAGCTTAAAATATAGCCATCAGCCATATCCGATTTGAGGAATTGTTTGAGGAAAAGTTTAATGCCCAAGGACGAGGCGCCTAGCACAGCAGAATCTCCATTATATTATATGTTCATGTGTACAATGATATTGATCACAAGGGGTCCGCCTTGCAGTCGAAGAACACAGTTGATAAAAAAGGCAAAGACCATGTATGATGGATCGGCGAAGATCATAATTACTAGATCCATATCAAACTACGAAGATTTCTCCAAGGAGAATCCTTGCCGGATTCTCAATATTCTTTAAAAAAAAGAAGCGGTTTCTCTACTAGAAGATACATAGACGGTTCCCAAATTGACAACTTGAATCAAATAATTTAAACTTTTACCTAAATATTTGATGTTGATTATAGAAGATCAATTTTTTTAAAAGCAACCTTTAGAACATTTATAAAAACAACAGTGTGCGATACTTATATTTTCCAATTCATATTTAGTTATAAATCCAGCCAGATTCTTTTCTGGGAACGTGGGAATAATCCAAGTTTCAAATGTAAGAAAAGAACATAGGATTTTAACAATTTGCTTGAGATATTTATTTATATACCAACATAAAGCAGCCGTAAAGTAGGCAATGCCTTCTTAGGTGTCAAGTTAATTGATTGTCCATCAGTTGTGATAAGTTTCCCCACTTCTGTTTACCAATTTGGAGGGTTGCCAATTATGGATGTTTGACTGTGTATAGAGAGGGTCGTGTGTGTTACTTACATATCTCAATCGCTGTCGCTTGTCGGCTCACACTTGGCGGTTGTCACTGCTGCTATTGTTGTTGTTTTTGTTGCTATTATTGTTATTGTATTAGATGTCGTTCTAGCTGCTGGCGTTGTTGGTGCTTTTGTTGTTGTCGCTGTTCGTTGGCAGCCAGCATCAATCTCTGTCCAGCATTTTGGCATCTTTCTGCTTCGTTTTACCCTGTTCCTCGTCTTCTGCTTCTCGCTCTCCTTTTCTTTTCTTATTTTTTTTTCGTCGAGTCTGTTTGTTTGCCTTGCCTTGGGGCCATACACCTCAACGATGTTGGGTTTATTTTATATTTATTTCGTGCGTTTTTCGAGGTGCCGGGCGATATGGGAGGGTGTGAGAGCGGGAGCAAGCCAAAAATATAAACCTCCTTGCCTGTGGCCGTGTGTCTGTTTTAGTGTTTGTGTGTGTGTCTGTGTGCGAGTGTATATATTTGCCTTGATATTTTAAGTATCCTGTTTGCGCTGTTTGCTGCGGCTGCTGCCTCTAATTCTTCTTTACTCACGTTTCTGCGTATTATTTGCGTAAATAGAATTTACGTTTACGTTTTCCACACACTTGGCGCTCTCTCTCTTTGTGTTGCCAAAATTAACTTTGATTACGAACCACGGGCTTTGCTTGAATATTTGACTTGTAAAAATATACATATATATAATCCACTTTTGGGATCCAGGTGCGAATAACAAGGTGCAAGTTACAGCTAATTTATTGTCCCATTCTCACGCACAGCCGCTCGCTCGCACTCACACACTATTCACTCACACACACCATAGCAATTACACTTAGCCTGCATTGATGTATTGTCTTGCTGCTTCCTCCCCTCCATCGGCTTTAATTTCACTCGAGTGTATTTCCCAGCTCTCCCTGCCGCACTCTTGCTCTTTCTCCCGTCTCCTCCTGTCTCTCTACCTATCCGCTTGCCTAGCGTAAAAGTTTTGTTGTTGTGCTAGTAGTGTTGTCCCTGCTGTTGTATGTGTAGTTGTTTTTGTATTTGTATTTGTATTGCTGGCTTTGTTATGGCTGCTCTCTCTCCGCTGGTCCTTGTTGCTGCTGCTGGCCACCACAGCTGTTGTTGCTGCTGCTATTTCTGCTGCTGCTGCTGATGCTGGTGCTGCACGCGCCGCCTCGGTTAGCACGTGCTGTTGGCCACGACGTCAGTCAACGACAACCGCCTACGCACTGCAGGCGCCGAATCGGCGACGCTGGAATTTCAATTACGATTTTCACTGGCGAGCCGCCTTTCCTTTCCGCTCTCTAACTGTCTCTCGGGCTCTCTCTTCGTCCTGTGGTGAGTTCGCCGCCGCGCTCTCTTTGCTCGAAGCCTAAGCCTAAAGCTGAATTTCCAAGCTAACTTTGATTGTCAAAGGTTAGTTGCTTAGAAAAAAGCTTGGCGGTTTTGAGTTCAGAAAACAAAATTCCATAGACGCACGAGGCGAATGAGTAATTTTCTAAATTCAAATTTCTCAACATTTGGGGGAAAATTAAACAGAAAACGTTTTTAAGATTACTTTTAGTCTATTAAATTTGTAGAGCTTGTAAAGAATCAGAATTATCCATTTGAAATCAATAATTCCATAGGCCAACTAGTCGTATGAGTAATATTTAAAATTTTAAGAACTTGAAATGTGGAGGAAAATTCAATAAACAGCTTAATAATGCTACTAACTTGGAATAGTTCTAGAAACATGGCAATGCACAGAAATTGAACTGCTATCTAAGCGGATAAAATATATTTTCGTGGAGGCAACAGGGCGTATGCTTTATATTGAACCTATTTTATATCAACAATAATTCAAATAATATTATGGAATTATATATTGAACATGAAATTATGGAGTTTTAAATCAATCAATAATAATTATTGATATCAATCAATATCAATCACTGGATTCTGTCACAACATTTAGTATTTAAAATTTTTGGTGCTGAATATCGAAATCAGTTTAAAATATAAACAAATCACTAAACTAAAGTAATGCAATAAATGCTTTAGAATAGTCTCCTAATAAATGCTAAAATATTGTATATTTTAATAAAGGATATTCGCAAACGCAAACAAAGAGTCCACTTTTCCGAAGACCAAAGAAAAAGAACGAACAGCTTAGAAGAGAGTGAACTCTCTCGCCCGAAACTCACCACACAACCGATGGCGATGGGAAAGAAAGTGAAAGCCATTAGCCGGCTGACAGCGGGTTCCTCCCAGGACTCAGCTCCAAGCCCCTCCTCTCCCCCGTCAAGGTGAACAAGGATTGACTTCTCACAGCCGAGTGGGATCCCCATCCGCTTGCATAATGCGCTTTTGTGTGGAATTAACAATTCCTGTACTTGCATTTGCAGGTTGCTATTATTTATGGCTCTCAATTGCACAAAGGCACGAGCCCTTCCGTTTCCCTTTTTAAATCTCCCCCCCATCAGCGCACTCTCACAGCTGAGCAAAAACAAAGCTCAGCAGCTGCAGCCAAGGGATATGCCAGCAGGAAGAGCAGCAACAACAACTTGCAAGGAAACCCGGCTAGGAAGTCATAAATTCTCACAGCGGTTAACAGGTGCATTTGAAATGTTCGCCCTTAAAAAGAGATAAATGCATAAACTTGTGGGGTCCCTGTGATTGCACGTATAATGGAGTACAGTAGCCTATTGCAGGATGGATTTATCGGTTCACAGAATATATTACAGGGAAATGTTTAGTTAGATTTTTAAGTAATATAAATTATTTTTAAATTTCAAAATAATTCGCCCTCAAAACCACATTAAATATTATGAATTTCACTTCTTCCTGAATCCTATTTATCTTTTCGATAGTCCATGCAACGTTTTGAACACTAAATAAAATGATCTAACTAATTGCTTTTATTTTAATTGGATAAAAAAACTTATGCACCAGATACTAGCTAACTATCACTGGAAATTAATCATCTTTCCGGCCAGCTTTTGGTCATCAATCATTAGCTACAGCAGGAGACTCACCTCAATATTCTGGTTGGTTTAACTGCAACTGTTTAAATGAGGTCCACGAAGTGCACTTCTCGGTGGCTAAGGCCAAATTCAAAGTCAATGCCAGGAGGCGAGAGCCAATTCAAATTCCACAATGTGGCCTCGCATTCGGTGGAAATTTATGCACAATCCCGGGAGCTCGAGAATGCGGACTGTGAGTCAGCGGGATTTCTGCGCGGAAAAGCTGAGTGACACGCTGACAGCAGAGCTCGGAAACTCCGTTAGCAGAGCCGCCTGTTGCATGCCAGCAATGCCACCACCCACCACCCACCATACACACCCTAACAACCCACCGAACAACGCCCGCCGCTTGAGTGGCAGCTTGCCGTGGCGTTAATAAGCGCCTTTTCCACGGAAATTCCCATCGAGTGCCACTTGAAACGGGAGTGCTAACAGTGCCGTTGTTGTTTGTTGTTTAATGAAAGCTTTCATCGCAGGCAGTCCATTAGGTATGAATCTAAACAAACGCAGTGACCCTTTGGAAAATCCAAAATGGTTAATCACACTTAAGTCCCGCGCACAGAAACAAAAGACGAATTCCCCAGCTCAATAGCAGCAGGGCAGAGTATTGTGTAGAGGACATTCCTTAAGAAGGATTTATATTATTTAGGTTATATAAAGTAGGGAATTTACTAAATGTTATAAAACTGGTTAAAGAAATTTTGATTTCAAAGCAAAAAAAATATGGTTTAAGATTTTAATATTTGATAATAGAGCTATGACTAAAAGGAAAAGTACTTCAGTTTAATAGGGCTTCGGCAGAGAATCGAAAAGCAATACTACAGAATTTAGTTTCTATATAAAAACTCTGGAAAATGTGTAGAAAAATATTGAACTTAAAGATTATTACTACTTTTAACCTTGGATACCTTTGAAAGCAGACATGTTCTAAGTAAAAGGAACAGTTCATCGGCTAAGTTTCCCAGAACAGGGAGTTTTCCAGAAGCTTTTTGTTACTTTCTGGTGGTGCCCTTCTCTTTGATAGTCCTTGTCTTAAATAAACCCTCAAGGTTGAAGATCCTTACTTATTGCTGGCTAAATATCCACCCATCCTCCTTCTTGGAGCCTCGAGACGGCGTCTGGCATATTGAGGGTGCAGCAAGTTGCCGACGGCAGCGAGAAATGCGATGAGGACTCTAAAACTTTCCACTTTCCACGCCGCACTAATCGGATTTCATTTAATTAGTTGCTCAAAGGAAACGAGCTGCAGAAAGTGGAAAATGGAGGAGGACGAACGCAACAACGACAAACACAACGAAAAGAGTGCAAAGACAAAGCGGCTGAGCACTTTTTTATTACACTCCGAGAAAAAAGTAGTAGGGGATGGCCGCATGTCGCGCGGCAAATTGTCAGGTGCTAAGCTTTGATAAAGTGCGCACTCGAAGGGACGACGAAAAAGTTAAGCTTGGCCGGGCGGACGGGGAAATTGCCTGCAAACGAAATGCAGACAGGAACATTTATTAAACGTGAGACGCGGCGAGTGGTTTTTGTTTGCCTTTGTCCAGAAACGAACATCTCACATACTGGGTTTATGCGACATTGATGTTGCAAAGTCAATTTAATAATAATAATAGTAATAACTTTGCAAAAGGGATATAATATAATTTGAATAATTTATTTATTTATTGATATGAACTTACAAGCAATACCATTGGCGATTTTGTTTTGAGAGAAAGCTTTCCATTAGTTCCTTATATTTTATTATAAAATTTTCCTATGCATTATAATGTATTTATCCCCATAATTTATTCATACGTAAATTCAATAATGAAATATTGAAATAAGGACTTCCACTCTTATGACAGTTCTAAGCGCATTCTGACTAAAAATTATGTAAAATTCATAAAGTGCTAGGCATAAACCAAAAATATATACTGTTCTTTCTCGCTCTTACCGCTGGTCAAAGTTTCTCTTTGAAACTTTTCACATGGGAAAAACCAGGAGCTCAGGTAACGGTAACTGAAACGTTGCCATCGCTGATTTCAAGCAAATTGGCTGTGTCTGTGGGAGGACGACGTACGCGTGTGAGCTGGGTTTTTTGTTTATGGAAAGTGTTATTGTTTGACTTTGAACTTTCCGCTTGTTTGCCGTCCTTACGCGGGTGTGTGGGGGGGGCTGTGAGAGTGTGTGCTGTGGACCAAAGCCGAAAATGGCCCAAACAATATCATAAAATTTAATGCGCTCATATTTCATGGCCTAACAAACGCACGCACACACTCGCATTGGAAAACGGATCTCGAAAACCCAGGACTGGGCAAATACATAAATCAACCGAGCAACTTTATCGCTTTATTTTTAAGCTCACTGCCAAAATGATTGAAATGTTCCTGCATTCGAGTAAAAAGAGGATTTGCATGTGTGGTGATAAAAACACAAGTTATTTTTATACCCTTGCAGGGTATTATAATTTCAGTCAGAAGTTTGCAACGCAGTGAAGGAGACGTTTCCCACCCTATAAAGTATATATATTCTTGATCAGCATCAACAGGGGAATCTTTCTAGATATGTCAGGAAGAAATCGACTTTTTTGGCCATTTTTGATTTTGATAAAAAATTGAATTTTCAAATTCAATTAAATGAAGTATGCAGATTTATTAACTGTAAAAAAATCTTGCACAGAACAGTTTTCCGATTTAAAATTAATGCTCTTTTGGCCGAGTTATGATATTTTTAATTTAAAAAATCAAGAAGTTTTTTAAAATAAAAAATCAGATTTTATAATACAGAATAATATCTTTCTAAGTCAATGAATCATTTCCGGCCCCATAAACCATATATATTCTTGATCAGCATTAACATGCGAATCTTTCTAGACATGTCCGGAAGAAATCGATTTTTTGGCCATTTTTGCGAAATTTGATAAGGGGTTGTTACATCATTAAAACTAGCAAAAATGGCAAAAAATTTTGATTTCTTAAAATTTTAAATTTGGTATACAGTTTTTTTAAATTAATAAAAACTAACACAAAACTGCTTACCGAATCGAAATTAATGCATTTTTGGCTTAGTTATGATATATTTTAATTGTTACCTGCAAGGCTATACAAACTTTGGCTGGCCAAAGTTAGCTTTCTTTCTTGTTTTTATTTTATTCAAACATGCAATTGAATCTTTTTTCACGAATAGTTTTTCAATAAGCTCTTGCTTGGGGGTGGGGTTTATCATGGTGTTCTTATTTTTTGTTCGTATTTTTATTTTCAGCTTGCTGATAACGGCAAATATCGAGTATTTACAAATAGAATTGTCAAGCGATTATCTTCTTAACATTAATTGATGTGTTCTAAATATAGTCGCTTATATTTTTGAGGGCTTTGATTTTCATCTTCACATATAGATAAATAAATAAATAAAATAAAATAAACAATAAAAACCATATAAAACTATTAAATTTATCTTTGTACTGAATCACTAGACAACCAACCAAGGGTTTCTCCTTTTCTAAACTATGAAAACAAATTAAGTGTTTCCTCTACAACATTATCATTGTAAGAAGTATGTTAACTTATAATCAACAGGTCTATATTATATTATTCTACACTAAACACAACTCTAGCTCAGTTATACATAAGAAATAAATGCGCATAAAAAAATTACGTATACGCCCTGTTTAAAGAAACTTTACAACGAGCACAAAAATCTCGCATTCCCTGCCATTTAATATTTTTTAGTTACTATAACTTAAATTTAATTGTGTAAAAAGGGCATCATTGCTAACACACAGAATACTATTTATTTTGATTGATTTGATTTTCAAGGAGGAACAATTTACTTATATAAATGCAATGCATAAATATTAAAATATATTTTTTCTGCAAGACTATTATCTTTTTTAATTTCTAAATGCTTGCGTTAAAGATATTTGAGAATAATGCTGACAGAATCACACAAGAGTTGCGCTAGCTCTCCGGATAAGTACTTACAGGCGCGGGACGCTGGGGGCCGACCCAGCTTCCGTGTTCAGCGATAAGAAACCAACTCTCTCCGAGCCAGAGTTCGTTCTAAAGTCTTGAAAAGTAAAGAGACGGAAATCGTCGCGGTAACCATTAGCACATAGAGATACGTAGATTCGCGCTTTTGGGAAACCGGAGCAATGAACGCACCGCTTTTAACGTGGACAGAACATGACGGAGGTGCTTTCACAACTATTTTCAGTACAAGTCCACAGCAAAATAATTGCGTTCTTTTGTAGCTCGCATTTTCTCGCCATTGTGTTTATGATAAGCTCGCGATTTGCACAATTAACAGTGGAGCAGAGGGAGGTTCGGTGCCCGAAAGGGGCGAGCATCCGCGGCACTTATTGTGCATTTAATAGGCACTAAGAAAGAAGCAGAGCTTGAGAAATTTACGCAATGACATTCACAATGGTGTGGTATTTACAAAGTTTATTTTACCCTGAACATTTAATTATTTTTAAAACTTTCGTCACTTTTTAGTCAGCTTTAGCTTAATTTTCTTTGGGAACCAGATTGGACTTTCAATTTGGCGCCACAAGTTGCAAGTCCAGCCCTGGTTTAAGTCGCGCGCCCTGCTCGTCATGTGTTGGTTTCGCGTCCAGCAATGTAAAATTCCTGGATTTTAAACTCCAGACTTAATTATAAACCAAAACTAAAGCCTTGTTCTTAATATGGAAAATTTTTCTTGCCACTTTTAATGTTAAATATAAAATAAAAAAGGCAAAGCGAGAAGATGAACTAAAATATGGCTAGGACTGCCAACTCCTTTGAAATATGAATTATTATCAATATACACGAACGATAACGATATATTATCGTAAGCTTTTGGCCGGCTCTAGGAAAGGAACGACATCTGTTTTTTTTAGTTGTTAATCATTTAATTTCACATTTAACCCTACGTGTCCCGCCTAGCAACTTGGCAATATGGTCGACAACTTGGAGCCGCTGGAACCGAGCCTGCAGAATCTCGTCGAGCAGGATTCGCTTAAGTGGATCTTCGTCGGCGGCAAAGGTGGCGTGGGCAAGACAACCTGCAGGTGAAACAACAACAAAGACACTTAAGCTTTCCGGTCAATAATGACTTACCGCTTGCATGTATGTTTTTAGCTCCAGTTTGGCCGTTCAGCTGGCTAAAGTACGCGAATCGGTGCTCATTATATCCACAGATCCGGCGCACAACATTTCGGATGCGTTCGATCAAAAGTTCACCAAGGTGCCCACAAAGGTAGCGGCCGCCATTATGGGTTTTAAGGCTCAAAAGAACCCTATTATTAATCCACATTTTGTTAAACCTTCAGGTCAATGGCATTGACAACCTGTTCGCCATGGAAATCGATCCGAATGCTGGCCTTAATGAGCTGCCCGATGAGTACTTTGAGGGCGACAACGAGGCGCTGCGTGTGAGCAAGGGCGTCATGCAGGAGATGATCAACGCCCTGCCCGGCATCGATGAGGCCATGAGCTATGCGGAGGTGATGAAACTGGTCAAGGGCATGAACTTTTCGGTGGTAGTATTCGATACAGCGCCCACGGGACACACGCTTCGCCTGATCGCATTCCCCCAGGTCGTGGAGAAGGGCCTAGGCAAGCTGCTTCGGCTCAAGATGAAGGTGGCGCCCCTTCTCACACAGTTTGCCTCCATGCTGGGCATGGCCGATGTGAACGCGGACACGCTCTCCCAGAAGCTGGACGACATGATGGCCGTGATCAGCCAGGTTAACGAGCAGTTCAAGAATCCGGTAATTCTATAGAAGTTATTCCACTAGCTTAATTGCCTTTTAACCTATGTATCTTCCACAGGACCAAACCACGTTTGTGTGCGTCTGCATTGCCGAGTTCTTCTCCCTGTACGAGACGGAGCGCCTCGTGCAGGAGCTAACCAAGTGTGGCATCGATGTGCACAACATAATTGTGAACCAGCTGCTGTTCCTGCAGAACTCGCACGATTCGTGCAGCATGTGTGCATCCCGCTTTAAAATCCAAGAGAAATACCTAGACCAGATCGCCGATTTGTACGAGGACTTCCATGTGACCAAGCTGCCGCTACTGGAGAAGGAGGTACGCGGTCCGGACAGCATTCGGGCCTTCTCAGAGAACCTGATGAAACCCTACGAGCCCAAGGGAAAGTCCAAGGAGTAGCAACGCTAAGCCCCATCCGTTTGTAAGATTCGTCCCCCCTAGATTGTGAGCTCGAAATAAAATTGAGTTAAGAGAGCGGATGCCCTAAGGGATCCCTCTGCTTGAATGTGTAAAATGGACGAGGTAAACGGATTATGTATTAAAAATAAAAATTGAGACACTTTACAGGCCGCCACCGCAACGTTCTATGGGCAGGCTACCTCTGCTGCCGCTCTCCGAAGCCTGCTTGAGCTCCACGCACGTCTGGGCGTAGTTCAAGTACGTGGACTCGCCCTGCACAATGGCCGACATGAGCAGCAGGAACTCGTACAGATTCACCTTACCCTGGGCATGGCAATCAATATCGCTGAGGACATTGTGCATCAGGTCCACAGGCACCTCCTTTATGCCCAGATTTTTGATGGCCCTGCAACAGTCGGAGATGGACACGTAGCCGGTTTTGTTGTCATCCAGGCTATTGAATTGCGTGGCAAACTTTTTCACAAGGCGCACAGACATCTTAATAGGTATATTTTGATGCAGGGAATTCTCCTTGGGAAAGCTGCCCATCTGTGAGTTCAGGAAGGAGCGCGCCTCAAGGATCTGCCGGTTTTTTTGCTCGTTCGTCCAGTTCAGCTCCTGGGCCATGATGTTGGCCACCTGCGGCAATATCTGCTCAGCCACCTGGACATTGAGAAAGGCCACTCGCAGCCGGCGTGCCACCATGTCCTGCAGCGTGCAGGCAAAGTCCCGAACGCCCTGCCTCACCTCCGCCTCGATGTAGGGGAACTCCGAGTGCAGCCGCTTGCCCACAATGGGCCATCCCAAACCGCTATTGTCCGCGGAAGCGGCCAGCTTGAAGGCATTCGAGCCGTATGTATTTGACAGATGCTCGGCCACGTCGCGCTCCATGCCAAAGTCCTGCACCAGACGGATGAACATATCCGGGCTCCAGCCGCTGGCTCCGTCCAGCTGGCAGGACATTGCCGTCACCGAAGTATCGCTCAACGGTGAGAGATCTCCCTGGGTAATGGCCGCATTAACAGTGATCTCGGAAATTGCCCGGAAGGAGGACCAGGTGCCGCCCACCACCGACAGCATGTGCCGGGGTCCCAGGTGGATCACGTAGTTCTTGCGCTGGAGGATGTCGGACTGAACGGGCACAGGCTTATAGCCACCCCAAGCGGCAAGTATATCGCACCTCCGGACATCGAAATCAGGGGTCACGAAGCGCTTGATGCCCTCCAACAGGTACTGCACATCCAACTCGGTGGGTTGGGAAGGCAATTCCTCGGACGAGGAGCCAGGCAAATCGCTGGTGCCGACCAGCGTGTGACCCTGCCAGGGCAGAAGGAATATTGATCGGCCATCGGGAGTGTGCGAATCGAAGACACCCACTTGCTCCGGGCAATAGAAACGCGGCAGCACAATGATCGAGTTCCAGCGGCTCGTGCACAGAGGTTTTGCCTCTGTATCCTCCAATCGGCGCACAACATCGCTCATATGTCCCGTGGCATTGACCACAACCTTGGCTCGGATTTGGTACTTCTTACCCGACAGTTGATCCACCGCCTCTGCGCCCGCTACGTTACCCTCCCTGTTCTTGAGCAACCGCACCACCTTCATGTGGTTGCAGATATCAGCACCATACCTAGCGGCTGTCAGGGCCAGCGAGAGACACATCCTGGCATCATCGTGCTGGGCCTCATAAATAACAAAGGCACCAAATAGCTCTTGTCGCCTCATCAGGGGAAACACTTCGAGAGCCTCGTCGGCACTGAGATACTGGAAGCTCTTGGTGCCCTTGGGCGCCATTAGGTGATACATCTTCAGCTTCATGTAGTACAGGGGCGCCTCCCACCAGTTGCGGACAGGGAGCAAAATGGGCATCATCTGGCTGAGGTGCGGGGCCAGGTAACCGATGTTGCTGCGCTCCCTAAGAGAGCAACGAACTCGTCTAAAAGCGGAAACATCCAGATGCGATATGGCCTGCTCCAAGTCCCTCAAACCACCATGCAGCAGCTTGCTCGACTTTGAGGATGTGCCACTGCCAAAGTCTTCGGCTTCGACCAGGGCCGTCTTCAGGCCCCGCGTGGCAGCATCCAAGGCACAGCCAGAACCAACGGCACCGCCGCCAATGATCAAGATGTCGTACTGGGTACGCTTAAAGGCCTCCAGGCACATCTTGCGGGTGGGCAGCTCTCGTTTCATCAGCGGCACCGGCTCCGCCGAGCCCTGGGAGCTCTCATCGAATCCAAAGGCGCCGTGACTCAGCTTTGAGCTGCCTAGCATTATCGCCATCTGGATGAACTTGGCCATTTCTGATCGTGCTTGCCCTAAAAATTTTGACCGAGTGTAAATAGCAACAAAACAAAAGCCACAAACTGATGGAAATTACAAAATATTTTCGATACTTTTGTTTGGAAATATGTTTAATGTACATACATGTCTCGTGCCTCTAATGTTGGAATATCAACTGGGAAACAGAACTCTAGCCCCGCCGTCTGAAGGAATTACATGGCTAGAGAGGGTTGTGTACAAAAAATGCCAAATGCCAAAATGTAACATTAAAACTTAGCACAAATTTACTATTAAAATCGCCCCCGCTCCGTTACTCTTTCATTCTTCCTCCTTCTCCTCCTCCTCCAACCTCTCTCCGGGCCAGTGACTTTTGAGCTTTCGTTCGTGGATTAACTAATGGGCTCCAGAGCGGAGGCTGGGCCTCGTTTGGGTTCACTACTGTTTGGCAGCACCGAAGAAGAACTTGTAGAAGAGCGTGGCCACCAGGCAGAGCACCAAGGGCAGCAGCCAAGACTTTACGGAGCTCTCCTCGTTCTGCGTCTCCGTGCTCCAGGTGGGCTCCGACTTCTGGGCCACACTGGTCCTTTCGCTTTCCACCAGCTCGCCAATCTTGTACTTCTTCATCATATCGCGGGCATCGTTGCTGTGGCCAACGTCCTCGAAGTTCTCTGTGGCATCCTTGCCGGCCTGCTCGATCAGCACCTCCTCGCCGCCGGGATGCTGCAAAGAATGGAACGTAAATAAATATTCGCATAAATCACTGAATTCTCCTCCACAATTGAAGAAATGCTAATACCCTCGGCTGACCCTGAATTGTATGGTTTAACAATCAGCTTAGCTCAGGTCCGAAGTCTTGAGTACTTTATAAAATATCCGCTATATGCAAATCTAATTGTCCGCAAAACTATATATTCTGGGTTGTGAAACGTCAGAGAAATCGAAAAATGATAGAACTGTTGTAAAGTTTTCTTGGAAACTCTTGAATATCTTAATGTTACAGGTTTATAGGATTATTATAAGTTTTATTAAATATTTTAGAAATTCAATTAAAAAAGAAGATATTGAAAATGCGTAACGGCATACGATTTCAATGTCTCTTCTTATTTTGTAGATTTTCTTTTTTATTATCTTTGGCCTAACTAATCAGACCTATTACAAATAGGTGTTTTATTCAGAATGATAGCAACCTTAATAGATTTTCGTAGTCATATTAAATTGCAACTTAGAATGTTATTAAGCCTTTTAGTTTTTTGTTAAGTCACATTATATTGCAACTACTTATAATTATCTTATTAACCCACCTACTTATTGTTTCTTAAAATAACTAGCTTCCTTTCTGAGGTAGCTTTCCAAGATAAGCAATTATCATTTTCACCAAAGTTTTGGTGGATTGCATAGTTATTTTTCAACCAGAGTTCTACGAGTTCAGAAAATTAGTTTTTTAGTTGCGTTCTTACTATATACATAGCTCCATTAACCTATTACTTTTATGTATACTGTTCATATTACTATCTATCTATCGTTATCAAATTAAAGCGACTAGTATGCCATGTATGATGTAATTATCTTTATAGACAAGCAAGTAATCACAGTTTAATTGGTTTGAAACTTTCAAAGTCATCTCAAAGCTTTAAACAAAGTTAGACAAATGAATCTGCAAGTCAAATTGTACCCAAAAATATTCAGAGTCTGATGCTGTATAGAGGTGTCCGGGAAGTGTTACTACGCAATATCAGAAAAGGCTTTCACAGGCACCGAGGATACATATACACAGCGCTCGAAACGCAGTGGATCTGATAATGAACAGCATGTTTTAAACATGGTCTGGATCGGCTTGAGCGATAGGGGGACTCAAACTTTGGAATGGAAATATAAGTGAGCCGCTTGGTCACCCTCACTATTGTTATTTCGATGGCATGCAAAGTGCAGCGTCATCGTTAGAACAATGTTTTCGCCGGGCTTATCTTATAAGAGTAGTCAATACTACAGATAGCACATGTTCCACGCCCACCCAACTGCCGCGTCAGGGTGAGGTGAAGCGTCTTCGGCAGCGACTCCCACTGGAGTAGAGGAGCGGAGCCTTTCCGGCAGTGCACTTGCATAAGAATCCAAGTCCCAGGGCAAACACAAATCCAATGAGATGCAAATGGGAACGCGCTTTTTGCTTAACACTTGACATATGCAAATCGATGGTAGTTTCGCCAGACGGTCTTTTTTGAGCGATTTCAAAAGTTCGGGTTTCGACATTTCTGCGGAGAGCGAACAGTGGAGAAATTCGGACGCAGGTCAGCCAGAGTACGCGGGTCAAAGTACAGGTCTAATGACAGCCACTCTGCGGCGAGCACTCAGGTGCAGTTCGGGGATCGGGGCCGCCAGCAGGGTGTACGTGCCAGTGGCTTTGGGCACGCCGTCGTCATCGCAGTAATAGAAGCAAGATAACACCAGAATGACCCCCATTAGGTGCGGCGCTTTGTGTCCAACGTGTCCCACACTCTCTCCCTCTTTTCTCTCACCTCGTTAAGGAAGGCGGTGACGTCGTAGATGTTGTTGTGGATAAGCAGCCAGGTGTCCTTGTTCGTGTTGTGCTTGGCGACCTCGGCCCGCGTGAAAGTCTTGGCTCCTTCGCTCGACATGTTGATCACTTGTTGATATCTACTGCGCGTTTGATTTTTATTTCAACAAATTAAAATTAGTGGAGCTGGAAAGTGTGGCCAGAATTGGCTTAGCGGTTAACGTAAATTGTCAAATGTGAGTTTTACTTACATACGGTGTCAAATGTAGCAATGGGGTCGAATTCCCAATCGGCTATGTAAAATCCAAACGATATCATCGATTACAGAAAAAAGTTTGAGGTTCATCGATGTTTTCGAAACATCGTTGCCAGACTTCGCGTTTATCAAGCTGGCAGCCTACTTTTCCTTTTTAAATTTAAGGCTCCGTTACTTTAAAGTTGTATATTTATTTTTATACTGCAATTTTGACGCTATAATTCTATTTAGCATGTAAATACTTTAATTTTACGCTGCTTTTGCAACCGAATAACCAGGACAAGCGATTCCATTTGGGGAAATATTGAATAAAATGATAGATATTAAGAATTATAAACAAACGAAGGAATTCGTAATGCATGTAAAATGAAAAAGTGCGTACATTTTTAATAAAATAATTAATATCTCGATAGTTGCATACTTTTAGGTGCGATTTATATTTTTTAGGCGCGCAGCATTTTGAAACGCTTTTTTAAATTTACAAAAAGCCTACTGCAAACGTCTGGATAGGAATTGGTAGTTGTGTAAGAAAATTCGAAATAAAAAATGATATTTAAAATGAACCAGTTCCTCAGCAACAAAGGAGCACTCTTTGCTTCCTTCTTTCTTGCGACAACAAAGACAAAGACTGCGCACACTCAGATCTCGTATTTACACTTGGACCGTGCCTTTATTTCAGATTCGGCAAAGGAGACTTCAAAGTCAAACGTATCCTGCTGTACGCCGTGCGGCTGCGGTGCTCCTCCAGAAAAATAAAAACAGTCAAAAGCAGCGCTGCTCAGGCGTTTGAATTAACTAACTATTAAAGTTAACATTAACAAGTAACAATATTTTGATAGTCAACTGCGGGTGTGTTTTTGATACGCTACGCTTTTAACTTTTTTACAAAGGTAAGTTGGAAGCAAATCCATTGTATTACGCAACTCCCCCGCTTGGCGTGTGGTGTACGTGCCAAGTTGCCATTTTCTTGGGGGCCAACTTCCTTATGCGGTGCAGCTTTTCCGGCGTCCATTGTGTCCACCTTTCTGATGCGTAATTCGAGCTCTCGGATTTAAATGGGGCGTCTGCCGAGATACACACCGCAAATGTTTGATTATCCTTTATAAGCGCTGCTGTGTGGCTTCCCCTGTCAATCATGTCGTGGACCCATGACTGCTCTAGAAACCACCGAGTGTAAACAGCTCTTATGGGGGGCCATCCAAACTCTGTCGAGTGGCCCGTAAATCAATGGGCTTGTTTTTGTGTCTTCACAAGTATCAAAACATAGGCTCTCGTGAAGCACCTTCTTATCAGCACCCGGAGATTTGTGTTGCCCAAGTTAGCTAGTGGTGTACCTGTTACCAGAGTTTTCTGTATCCATCGGATGCATTGAAATCCACAGCTTCCTTGAAGGTTTGGGGTAGGCCAAATATGATTGATGACTCTTGACAGCTTCTAACTAAAATCTGGGTGTGGCGAGCATTAATTTACGGCTATATTTACGCTCCAGATACGCTTTATATATATTTTGTACCCCATTATGTATAACACAATCAAGGATTGTAAATTAGTATCAATGGAAAGAAGAAGAAAATCAGAGACGAGGAAAAACAAATACAAAGTCAGATCTCAAATCTTGATCGATTGTGATCGAGGCATTAATCGCATTTGCACAAAGGGACTAAATATAGCACGATTCCGATTCCGATTCCCCCTTCCGATCCAACAGTAGAGTTCACTCCGGTTAGTCGCCAGCGATTATAATAAAATTTAATGCCTTATTGCTGCATAATGGGCCGATTGTCGACAGTGGTCCACATTTTTTTGGCGCGACAGCCTCATATACAGAAATTTGCATTGCCAATCCGTCATTAGACTTGATTGATTCCATCATTAAATACAATTGACTGGAATTGACCAAACGAATATGTTTTCAATTCCAGCGCAGCGCCACAGAATAACAAATAAATAAATAATTCAGTAAATATTTGCTCGATTACTGATCTCTTGATCGTGATGAGGAGATCGGAGATCGGCCATATGCGAACCCGCCTTTTAATTGGGCTCCCAACATTTAATTGGAGACAAATATTGTTTTTAATTATGGCTTTCGCGAATTTCGCTGTTCGAATCTTTATGGCACTTTCGCTTTTTTCTTCGCCCAGATGTTCGCCCCACTAAGCTTGTCCCCTATATTATATGGTAGTTATCTGTATAAACTGAAAGCCGAACAGAGTGTAGAGTCCGGGATACTATAGATGGCTAGCTTGGCATATTTTCTACA